GCATGCTTAAACCAAGTGGTTTGGTACCAATCTACTTCGATTGAATGCTCCCTTATCAGCTCCCATGTGTTTGCAGCCGAAAATTCCCTCTTAAATTCTCCGGGCTTGTGCTTCCAAATAGCTATATTTGGTCTCCGATCTGCGATAGGTGTCTGCACTGTCGTCAGACAGATAAGAATCGATTCGAGCGCATCAGACCGTGCTCCTGGGACTGACCAGTGTCCACTTCAGCATGCCTCTGCCACAGTTGCATCCAGACCAATGCGCATAAGACGCGGACCTGCATTTCCTGTTACATCAAGCAAAGGGCGCTCAACTAACCAAGTATCATGCAAGACCATAGTGTTTGTTCCATCCCCGATCTCCATGCGCAAAAATGATTTGACTTCTTGTCGGATTGAGAGTAGCTTTCTGAGATTCCATGATAGCTGATTTGACACGGTTGTTGTCCAATAGCTCTTCTTTTTCCATACGTTCTCCGTCAGCCATCTAGCCCATAAAGAGCCTCTGTCACTTAGTGTTCTCCATACGAGCTTCAACCGGTGGACCATGTTCAGATCCTTTAGAGTTCTGATGCCAAGTCCTCCTTCTAAGCGACCCTCGAGTGTGGCCTACAAGCAGAATGTGAAGAACCCGTCCAAAGGAAAGTCGCGCAAAGGCTCTTGATAGCCGTAAGTACTGACTTGGGGAGAAGGAATGTGGCACTCCAATTTGCAACCTGTCCATAAATAACATTTGATTAGTAGTAATTTGCCCGCCCTTGAGAGGAACTTGGTGGTCCATGATTGTAGTTTCGCCTTAATCCTTTCAGGGCGCTCAACTAACCAAGTATCATGCAAGACCATAGTGTTTGTTCCATCCCCGATCTCCATGCGCAAAAATGATTTGACTTCTTGTCGGATTGAGAGTAGCTTTCTGAGATTCCATGATAGCTGATTTGAAACAGGTGAATTCTTGTGAATCGACGAGGAGGAAGCCATGGATGGTGAAAAGGAGGCTGAGAACCAAAATATTCACGCGAGGATTTTTCGAAACGAAATGCAAAATACCCATTTCATCAAAAAGGTTTGAGTCAAACTCGGGTCAAGGGGAAAAGGGATTCCTTTCTCCGTCACCACCGCAAACTGGAATTCGCTTTTGGATTTCCTTCCAATGGTGGCATCCTGAATTTCCCCGCGGAAAAAAAAACAGTGAGAAAGAAAAATCCAATCAACGAGGTTGGGAAAGATGCATTCCTTCTCCGAAGAATGCGATCACGTCGACAAGGAGAAATCGAGGAAATAGATCTCCGATTCTCGTCTCTATTTCCTGATTACCGAAAACGATCCACTCTCCGACAAACCCAGAAACAGGACGAGACAAGGGAAGAGGTATGAACAAAGAAGAACCCTGAATCTGAGTGTTGGTGAAATCGCTCGTTGGGTCGGATAATCAAAGGGAAAGAGCAAGTGGGTATGTACGAATCCCGCAAATTGAAATGGATGAAGGGGATTCGGAGGAGTCAGGGCATGCAAAGGGAAGACGAAGTCGAAGAAGACGCGAAGAAGGAAAATGGGAGTAAGGATGGTTGAACAATAGGATCATTGACCAAGGAAATCTCGCGAGAAAGGGTGAAAATTTTCCGGCAAAATGCAGAGAGAGAGGAGTAACGGATTAGGGCTAAATCCGGGGGAAAGATTGCGTGGGGATTTTATCGGAGAAGTAGAGATAATAGATTTATGCAAAGCTGTCAACTTTGTAAGATCAAAGGCATTGAGTCACCCCCTCTGTTTATTTCGTTTTTTCTGTTATAAAACCATCATTATCATCATCTTTCATGGACCTCGGCCCATTATAAAATGTTCCCGGATCGCATATATATATATATGCTCTACACTTCGTGCTGATCCAACATATCCAATTATCCATGATAAATTAGAGGGAAAAAAACCCTAATGAAAGGAGCCGAATAAACACCACTTTGTACATGTATAAAAAAAGATCAGTGGTATTGCTATGAATGTACAGAAACTTTCGGTTCTACAATGAAGCTCAGGGATAGGTACTGATGTTGTGCTCATATACCACAAAGAACCTTGCCTTGGCTTCAACTGTCAAGTACAGGAGATTCGAACAAGATTCGGGTCAGTTTTCGGAAAACAATGGAAGGGGCCAATAGTTCATACGGGTTTAGCACATAAGAAGCGTCTCGCAAAGTAAAGGACTACATATTGTTTTGAGTTTCCGGATCACGGGTTTTTGTGCCCTGTTCTCAAACCAGAGACGAAACAGAAGAAGGTCGAAGGAATCTACTTACAGCTTGAGAATGGCGAATTCATCAGTTTTTAGCCCCATGCCATGGAAAATGCATAGTTAACCACCAGTTTACCGTCAAAGCCAAAATTCTGCGATTACAGACCAGAACCATATAAGCAAGACGCAACCGGACAATATCTAGATCGGTACTTCAACTATTCCAGTTCAAATGCAATTGCACGAGAAGAAACGCTGTAAAAGGTAACAGCTTATTGTGAAGAATACTCTACTAGCATAAAAAGCATGCTACTACCATGTACAACTTAATGAGAGAACCTTGATACAAATAGCTGGGAGAGAGTGTAGAGGTTAAGTGAAATATTAACCGCACTCACATTGTATAGATCAATCACCGATTCATCAGGGTTTGGCGAGAAAGCGCTGTTCACATAGACAAACTTGAAAGAATGAAGAATATCAGTAAGTACCACACAAAACAATGTGCTAAGACAACTTCAAGAAGCAAAAAGCACCAGAATTTGTTGATTACCAATGTGTCTGAATGAAGCTGCCGCCGAAGAAAGTCAATCACTTTAGCGAATTTGTCAGTTCCTGGGATCTGAAGACACAAAAAAACAACACATTCACCTATACAAAGAATAAAAAAGAAACATTCACCGATCCAAATGTATTGCTATTTTCGAAGAAAACCGTAACCACGTGTGTTGAATAGATATCGCCTGCATCGACATACTTCCCGACAACAAAGCTAGTGAACGAAGAAATGGATAATGTCTCTGAGTTGAATTACATGTAGTCACCATATATAGATAGAATCAACCGACATCGTGTCACTACCTCAAGATCATGCGTGAAAAAATAAATACGCTAAAGTTCTTCAAACAAATCTCACAAAGCTTAGTTATAAGATGAAAAGCTCGCTTAGGGAAGGATCGTATAACCAAAAAACCCTAATTTCTTTTTTGGTAAAGTTTGACCAATGTGGGGTTCGAAAAACCCCTAATTTCAACACAGGTTAATACTGTAATCCATGGAGGAGAGGTTCCGGAAGACGATACCTTGAATTTAGATTGTTTGAGTATTGGAGCGCCACCAGTAGCTCTTAGGTGAACAACAACTGCAAGAAAGAAAGGGAAAAAACCCTAGAATTGATCAAACAGAAACCGTAAGAAAACCCACAAAAAATATCGATAGAAACAAACCCCTCAATAAAAAACTTTACTTGGTTGGATCATATTTTCCGATGGGAGAACAAATTGAAGCAACGAGTCAGAGACTCACCTTTTCGCACAGAACTCGGAGACTCGGTCGCCATTATTGAATCGCGGAGAAGGAAGAACAACCGGGGAATTTACACAAGACAAAACTCTGACTAGGGGCAAATTAGACATTTTCATTCCGATTTTAAGCCCACCGGACAGCCCACGGCTAAGCCCAATTTCGATCCATTTTCAAAAAACCTATTCGATTACATCAAATTTTGTAACTTATAATTTAATAGTAATGCTATTTTAGCACCTAGTTTAAAATGATTAGTACTAATCTAGGATTATTATTGACACTAATAAATAAAAAAAGGGAAAAAAATTATATCAAAACAACTGTAAATGGGCCTTCATAATCGTCAAATTAGATCAACGTTGGGCCCAGTCTGGACCAAATAAGGCTCGGCCTCTTGGTATTAATATGTTAAATTTTGCATATAAAAAATAATTAATAATTGTATTATAGGTAAATGATTAAATTCAAATAACATGATACTTATCTTTTTTTTTTTCTCTATATGACGCTTGTATCAAATTAAGTATTACAAATAAGCTTTTGTAAAATGCCTCAATATTACTCATTTTTGTGTGTTGTAAGTGATTATTGTGTATTTTTCTAAAACAAAATGAATCTGCTAACTATTCTTATAAAAAAAAAAAATATATATATATATATATATATATATCTTTTTTATTGATGATTTTGAGAGATGTTTGAAATGTTCGTAAAATCCGTCAAAAGCGACGGAAAAAATATTAAAATTTAAAATGAAAAAGGACCATTTTCAGAAATTTACTGTTTTTGTCTTCTAACGTATCAGAATATTACTGTTTTTGTCTTATAAGGGATCAAGTCAAATGGACATACAGTCTCCAACCCAATTTGTTGGCTTTTTGTCCCATTTTTTTAATTAAAATCAAATCCCAAAATCTCACGGCATATAGAATTCACTCTAGTATCTGTAAATTGTCCCATGGGATAATATTTATTAATAATATCAACAACGATTAATACAGATTGTCATGATATCAAAATATCAGATTCATATTTCTCCCCCCTTTGGGAGTTTATTATAGTTTATAATAAAAATGATGATGATTAAGGATAAGTATGAATATCATGACTAGACGAATAATCTGCTAATATATGATAATTCCCTATATGTTTTACTATTGTGACGGTATTTAAAGTCCAAAGTTTGACGTTGAAAATATGTCTATGAGAAAATAGACCGAATCGTATATATAATCACAAAGAACACGGACAAAAATGGTGACATTTCGATAAAGATGGTTATCTTCTTAAAATGAAAACTATATATATATATATATAATGGACTGCCAATTTCAGTCACTGTCGATGCGAGTCGAGGAGCTCGTATTCATTGCATGGGCTTAATTAGAGGAAGATTAATCAATTATATGTTTGGAGTTTGGCTTATGAAATTAACAAAGGCAAAGTTTTTTGGTGCTCTCTTTGTCACCCTCCTTTTCATTCAACTGTGGCACATGAAAAGAAAGATAAATCATTAATTATGACTCATATATTGGACCAACTTATCAACAACAGCTAGTTTAACCTCAAACTATAATGTTACTTATACGCTTATACAACCCAAAAAATCCCTCGCATAGATATATATTCATATTCATATTTAAAATTAAATTCGAGTAGTTGTTTTGGTTTTTTAAGTTGATTTTTATTGATAAAATGTTCGTTTTTAAAAAAATACTGTCATTTGCTGTTTTTCGTTATTTATTTTATTTGGTTATTGTTTAGAGTTCTCGGTTATAGAAAAATTATATGAATACTTATTATTTCGTTTTAAAATCGTCGTCTCTGAATTCAGAATTTAAAATATTGCATCATGAGACCGTTGTAGAGATCTTTAAAAAAAAACATTTATTTTTGCAAAAAAAGGAAAAGAAACTTAATATAAAAAAAAACAAAAAAAGGAAAAGAAAAAGAGAGAGAGGAGATGGATGGATACGTCACCGTTTCATCATTCTCAGACAAAAAGCTGCAACCACGACGACAAGTTTTGCTGACACAGTTGTAATCTTCTTCCCAATCAAATCTAACATTCTCTTTTCTTTTTTTTTTTCTTTTTTTGATTGTTTTTGTTTTATTGTCCCAACAAAAGAAATATAAATATATTTTCACCATTATCTTTGTTTTCTTTCTCTTCATTACGGATTGGAATAAAGCTTTAACTTCTGAAACAAATATTCATATGCTGTCTATAATACTCTTGAATTTATATATACATATATATTAGATGTAATGATAACAAGTATACTCGTTTATGCAGTTCGGATCTTTTTTTTTTTTTTTGAAATGCTTGTTCGTACATTTCACTGTAAATGTTGAAATCCAAGCATTAGTTGCCATATGATAGTTGAAATTATTACATTTATCACTTATGGTAAAAATATAGTAAATGAAGTCAGATCAAAATAAATAGGAAACTTAAAAATTCTCAAATTTGCAATTCACTGGAAAACTAATTTAATTTATAGGTGTTTCTGTTTATTCCATTTTAAAAAATTTACACGATAATTTCTAAATCTATTCACAATCGTCCTAACAATAATTTTGACCCAAATAATATGTTGAACAATCCTATGTGGCGCGTGAATTAATGTCAAGACACGTCAAACTTTTATGCCATATATACAGAATTGGGTTTAATAGATAGGGTATAATAAAACCGACTCGTAATCGTAAAAATTTTGGTTCACCAGAAGATTTGGGTTAACGCCGGAGATTATAATAATTACCATCACAAATGGATCTCGAGCTCTGAATTAAGATCGATGGTATCTCCGCCGAAACAGGAGTGTTTGACGTCAGATTTTTCGGTGAGAATGGCGTCATCCAAGGAAGAGACACGGCGGCTGGAAACGTCATCGATGAACTCGAAATTACCCTTCAAATTGTTATTTTTACTGTGTACATAGCATTAAAATCTAATGTATCTTGACAATTTACGCGCCGCGTAGAATTATTCAACACATTATTGTGGTCAAATTTATTGTTAGGACCATTAACACTTTTATATAAGTTTAGAAATTATCGTATCTAATTTTTCTAAGTTCGAAAATAAATAAAAACACTTGTAAATTGAGTAATTAGTTTTCTACCTAATTGCAAATTTTGAGAATTTTCAAGATTTTTTTCAATTAAATAATAAGGTGTTTGAAAAGAGATACTTTCTACATAGAAAATGTTTTTTTACACTTTTCTCTTGTGTCAGAATTAATACTTAAAACAGTTAGAAATATAACTGTAAATTGGATAAAATAATTTTCATAAGATTCAACATATATAATACCAATAAGTGTTACTCTTATTTTTTTATTTCATGTTATACTTGTTTCCTTCGTTTTTGGCGTTAAAAGGGTAATATTGAAAATTCATAGTATATAGTGGTAGATAATCATGCAAAGATAACATCATGATGAATGTGAGTACTCAGGAAAGCAATTTGAACGCACTTTTGCCCGTTCCTAGAATCGATTAATCACTTTAAAATATATATGGCTAACAATACTTTTTTTTTTAATTTTATTTAGTTAATTAAGATATCAGAGAAATCCACAAAAATTTAACATCGTACAATACATATAAAAAAATATTTGATTGGATCTACACACACACATGATATATATATATATATAATCTTCAACATTATTTTTTTTTCTGTAATGATGGGGAACTCCTATGACTACCTACCCTTACAAACGGAGACGAACTGGCCACCACCCGCGCCTAACAGTCCCCATGAACCTCAGTCCACCGGACCTGGCCACTAGGCGCGTCTAACGCTCGGGCCGTAGTTGGACTTAGGCGCCTACAGATCAAACCCCACACCCACACGTACGAGCCTGCAACACGCGGAGAGGGGGTAAATCAGCTCATTATGATGGGCTGACAGGCGAACAGGTCAAGGGAAGAGAGAGCGACGAGAGGAATCGATCTCCCCACCTCAAAGAGTTACCCCCTGCCCTCTGCCACCTGACCTGGCCCTGAACGGCAACGTCAACATTATTTTGTGATGATCTTAAAGATTTAATGAGACAAAACGAAAAAAGAAAGAAAGAAATTTGTTCTAATCGAAATTATAATTAAGTATTCATAACATAATATTGTTTAATCTAACTATTTTTTATTATATATTAGTTATTATTAGAAATTTCAAATTCATTTAACTAAATTGAGTCAGATATGAGATTAGGGATAAATAATTCATAATATTCAGCTAATCCATTATATATCCATTACGAATCGATTTAAAATATATTAATATTTGGAAATATTTATAATATACTTTTTGGGATTATTAATGACGTTTGTAGTATTAAAGATTTACAGAGTAGAATAAAATAAAAATACTGCATTTTTGTAAGAAACGCTGCGAATCCATGCTGGGTGCAAGGTCCCACGTGTGACGTGGAGGAGGAACAAGAAAAAGAAGAGGTTCACACTTCACACGTGTGCACGCGCGACAACCACGAGACATCTGTGTCCACCCGTCACGTGCGGACACTAAAGTCATATCCACTTGTTTTGGTCTCTCTTGTCTCTTTTTTTCCCCAACACGTGTCTAATTTTCATTGGTTATCTATTGACTCCCTTACGTCTCTTTCATCGCCTCTCTCTCTACCATTTTCCATTTTTCTTACAATTTTTGTTTTTTAAGAAATTGTGCCCTGGATTCAATATTATATCCGCAATTAGAGGTTGCAAAATTAATAAGATTTTTCTTGAAACTATATCATGCTCATATGTGGAAAATCTTTATCTAACACCTAAAATTCAAATTCTACAAATAAATTGGATAGAAAAATCCTCATTCATTTTCATATAACGATTATGTCCCTGTGAACATACCCAAAGATACAAAATGTAATTATTACAAATAAATAGCCAAAACATGCTTTTTTTTGAATTACTTTTGAACAAGTTCGTAAAATTGATTTCTAATTGGTTTTAATAAGATTCTCAACTGCTATTTCTCATACATTATATATATATATATATCACCCGTTTCGAAGTTATCTATTTAAAGTTTTCGCACTAGTTGTGATATAGT